GGGTGAGAGTTGGCGAACTGCTACTGCGAGCCCAAGAACGCGAAGACCAGTTTCGTTGGTGGTGGCGTAAGCGAGGTGATCGAAGTCGTGCATGCTGGTGACTTTGACGACGTCATCGTCGCTGTCGTTGCCGTTGCGGATGGTGTCTTGCGAGGGATTCGGTGGTGGTAACTCGGCATTCGGAATTTGGCGCGTGATGCTGTTGAAATTGTGGGCTTCGCGAGTTGTATCGTCAAGGTCGAATTGTGAAACAAGTATGAATGTTGGAGTTTGGAGCGGGCTTGTAAGGGGGATGTTTGGATAATGTTCGTTGCCCCGAGCATCCGCTGCATCGTCCGCCACGTCAGCTTCGTCTTGTGCAAAGGCGAAGTAGTGGTGTCCTGTGAAGACGGTTTCCGGTGCCTCGTCAGCTTCGCGATGCTGCTTGTACAGTGGCAGCGTCAACTTCTCGTAGAAGATCCAATCACGTGATTGCGTCACTTCGTGTGTCGCGTAGTCCAGCACGATCCAAGCCTTGAACTCATTTGAAATCCCGAGGTGAATGCTCCATCGTGCCCGATCGGTGAAACTTCCGAACACTCAGAGGAGACGCGTGTCAGCGTTTTTGCCCGTCCATGCCTTGTATGGTGAGGTGTTGTCTTTTAGGCTGCGGGATGATAGCATGTTGTGCAGTCAAACGGCATGGTTCATCGCGAACGGCCAGAACTTGGTTGGGATGGCAGACTGCTTCATCAGGGGTCTCATCCTCGTGGCGAGGCTCTTGTTTGTCCTCTTTTCTACTCCCTGCTGCTCGTGTGCGTATGGCAGGGACACCATGTGCTCAATCCCTTTCTTGGCGAAGAGCTCCTTGAACTCGTTGGAGAAGTACTCCAAACCCTCGTCTGTTTGAAATCTTTTTAGCTTCAGTCCTGACTGACGTTCGGCGCGTTTCATCCGGGTCACAGAGCAGTCGAAGGCGCGTGATCGGTAGTCGATGTTGATGGCCCAGATGCAATGCGTACTGGCGTCGATGAACGTCATGGTGTTACACTCGCCGTCGAGTCCTTCTTGGCTCAGAATCATGAAGTCGCTGTAAACCTTTTCGAGCGGCTCGTATCGCTCGTAGCCTGGAGGTAAGCCGGGGAAAGGCTTGTGAGTGAGTGATCCGGTCGGGTAGATAGTGCATGGTGGGTCTTCTGATGTATCCTTGAGTGTGTCACCGACAGGTCGGAGCAATCCGCTTGTGTCGAAGACTTCGGCGACGATTGAGTTTTGAATTGTAGCGTGTGAGGGATGCCCGAGCCGTTGGTGCCAGATGTCGGGAGTGACGCGGTAACCAACCGATAATGTATGTTTCTTTGCTCTTCTTCTTGCTGTGATGTCGCCGAGTCGGCGGCTGCTCGCACGTCCGCTGTGAAGGCTTGGGTGGACGCTTGTTCGAGATCAGCTTTGGGGATGCCGATGACGTCGTTTGTGTCGGCGACGTGAATTGAGTCGTCGGTGACGGGTAGAAGCTGTTGAGGCGATGTCGCTTCTGGCCACTCGGAGGCGGGGAGTCCCTCCATCGGAGTTCGGTGGTAAAGGTGTTCGTCGCCGGTGACTGAGATCAGCTGTGGTCCTTCTTCTGGCGGCGGCGACTCCTCGGTAGATTCAGGTAAATCTGCTGCTTCTCCAAAGTCATATTCTTCTTCTTCTTCTGGTGGTGGCTCGTAGGGATACTGATCCGGAAGAGGAGGTCCCCCCCAGCTGGTGCCACGTGTCGCCCAATATGGGTCTACTTCTGCCACTGCTTCAGGAGGAAGTGTTGGAGCTTCAGGATAAGGGTCTGGTGGGCCCCAGCCACCTTCAGAAGTTGACGTTCCCCATCTGCCTCCAGGGGGAACTCCCGGTGTTAGTGTTTCTGGCACTCCTCAGGCGCCAATGGTGACACCCGTGTTGGTCCATCCTGGGGCAGCGATTCCTGTGTTTCCCCATCCTCCAGTGTCGGTTTGTGTTGCCATTGTTTCCTCTTCTGATCCTCCGATGTCTGCTTCTTCTTCCATTAATGCAGGTCCGGTGTCGCCGGGAGTGGAGGTTGAGGTGGTCTTGATGTCGAGGGTGCGACAGAGGCCATCCGGTCCGGGGCGTTCGAGATCTGTCTCTTCAGGATGCGACCATATTGGCGTTTCCGTTGGCGTTGCCTTAAGCACGAGCGTTTTGTCGGTGTCGCCTTCGTTGCCCTGTGACTCGAAGTTAAGGACAAAGACTCTGTCTTCGTCAACCGCCTTGCCGATGTAAGTTTTCTTGTAAAGTAGTTCGAATCACTTCTCTTCGCAGTTGGTTCGGATCTCAACGCCGCATTTCATGAGTTGTGCTGCAGAGAGAAGGTTGAACTAAAGATCGGCGACGACGAGTACATCTCCGAAGTGGATGGTGAAGTTGGTGTCACTTAACTGCAGGTATACTTCTCCAATGTCGTACGGTTTCGATCGATTGTTGTTTGCGACGGTTATTTCGCATGAACGTCACATTCGCTTCGAGTTGCTAATGAATGTCGTTGACCCCACCATGTGTTGTCCGCAGCAGCTATCAAGATACCATTTGTTGAAGTTGTCGCAGCTTCGGCGCGCGATGCTGGCAATCTTTGGAGTCACGATACGATCGAGGTCAACTTAGAAGCCCAAGAGGTCGTTCTCGTGGGTTGCGGAAAACCCGGGAGGAGACTCAGGCGTGCTCGGAGACAACTCGTAGTTAGGTGGGAGAGTCGTCGGCCTGTTGCTCCAGCTTCCGATTGTAGGATCATTGTTCGGGCTCGGCGCGATGGGTTCGATTGGCGCGATTGTCGGGAATTAAACCCTATCGTAATAGCGAGTGCCTCTACTACGAGCCATACAGCTCAAGATTGCCCCTTTTCCTTTGTCCTTGGCAGAGATGCGCGAAGGGACTTGCGAGGTGCTCGCGATGGCAGGTGGTGAAATTGTCGCTGTTGATGCTGCTGCTGGCGTTGAAGGGTGAGTTGAAGATTGATGCTGGTTATTGTTGCGTCTTTCGTTGGCAGCTTTGTGCTTGAAGCAAAGGTCCATTGTGTGACCCAGTTTCTTGCAGTACTTGCAGAAGTACCCTTTCTTTTTGTGCGACTCCCCTTCAGTTGCGACAGCGTAGAACACCAATTTCTCCCTTTTGCCGTTTCTCTCATTGTACAGATCGATCTCTTGCTGCTCGGAGAGGAGTGTGGTGCAGAGGGCAGCTTCGGAGACAGCTCCTCGAGCGCGAAGCAACGACTTGCATTGTCGCCACTCTGGTCGTAGTCCGGAAAGGGACTATGTTGACGAACATGTCGTCAGGGACGTTTCCGCCACACTTCTTAAACTGGTCGCGCATATTTTGGCAGCGATTAATATATGGTCCCGCTTTCTCCCCTTGAGTCATTCTGGCTTATGTCAGTTGGCTAAGTAGGCGACTCATTGTTACCGGATCTGTCGCCATGTATGAATTGCGCACGTAGTCCCAAGATACTTGCGCGGGAGCCCAATTCGTCTTGAAGGAGCGGATGCCAAGCTGCTCGGAGGGAGAGAGATTGCGGAGAAGAACGGTGTACGCGAGGATAAACTCGTGGTAATAAATATTTTTCTCCTGGGGAGTACCTTTCGTCAGAAAGGGGCGGTTCCCGTCGTAGTACATCCATATCTGCGCGGTTGTCGCGAGGAGCTCGAACTCGAAGCTCCACGTGTAGAAGTCCTTGCCGTCTAACAAGAAAGATGCTTCAATTTTGATGTCGTGAGGAACTTGTTTTTTGCAGTGTTGCTAACACCTCTGTTTGCGTACGTTGTTGATTGTCTTGTGCAGGAGCTGAGCCTTAACAATTGTCAAAGGTAAAAGATCTCTCGGAGTTGACCCGTCGGTCTTCTCCTGGGAGAGGAAGTCCAGCAACTCCTCTGGCGTAGCTTGAGCCGTCAATGCTCATTGCGTGATGGCTTTCAAGGGCGTTGATGCGTGCGATGAGCTGCTCAACGACGTTGGCGTTGACGGAAGTCTCTCCTGACGGCACATTGGTTATTGTTGCTGGTGGTGGGCCCGGAGAGTGTGCTGTAGGCTTTCCTTCGGGAGCCATAGTGGTGCAGATTCTGTAGTAAAGAGTTGTTCTAGGAAGAACAAGAACTTGGCATGTCTTAAAAATCCAATCTTGCTCTCATACCATGTTGATATAACTGAATAGTCGTTGTGGATAGGATAAGACTAGCCAAGTGAGAGGAGACAATGAATTCTTGAGATGACCTTGTTTATAATAAGTTGAAAAGAAACAAGATGATGAAGATAGCATTACAAGGGAATTATATAGCATTCCTAGCTAGCCATGTACTCTCGGGGGTATATTCCCTGATTAACTGTTTTGCATTGCTACGGTTACCTCGACTATTACAATACTCGACAGTTACCATAGCGTGTAACCTTTGTTTACAGTTGCGGGGTGGTCAACAGTCGCGACCATTGACTTTCCCGCGACTGTTGACCTTCGCGTGGCTGTTGACCTTCGCGTGCTCTATAAGAGCTAATGCGCTATTGGTACAAGTGCGCTGCTTTGTTATGAAGCAGTGCGCAAGGGTGTACCTTCGGAAATGTTATAATAACCCTTGGTTATTCCAACAATATATTTATATATTGTTGGGCTATAGTGGGGCTAGCCTTAGGGGGTACAACTTCCTAGGGTTTGCTACTTGTACTCCCATCTTGTTAGTTCATCCTCATTCCGTTGCCTATCTTCTTAACATGGTATCCGAGGCTAGGTTAGGTCCTACTGCCGTACCTACTGTCGTACCTACTGCCCCACACTGCCCCACGCGCGCTCTGCCCCATGCTGTCCCACGCTGCCCCTCGCTTTTTTTTTTTTTTTTTTTTTTTTTGGGCTTTTGAGTGAACCCCTGAGGAAACCTGTCCCTCTTTCCCACGCCAATCAGCCGAGAGTGCAGGTCCAAGCGGTTCGATACCTACGAAGCGACCATTTTGTCCCCACGCTCCACTCTCTCCCCCCAGGGGCAGGTTCGCTACCTACCAGGCGAACGCCCTGGGCCTTGATTAACGAAGGCATCCATGGACGCTGCCCCTCGCACGCTGCCCTTCAGGCGCCTCGCGCTGCCGCACGCGCCCCTCATTCCCACGCCCGCGCTGCCCCGCGCTGCCGCGCGCGCCACCTGCAGCCCCGCGCTGCCCTTCGCGCTGCCCCGTGCTGCCGCGCGTGCCACGCGCGCCACGCGCAGCCCTTCGCGCTGTCCCGCGCGCGCCACCGCCGCTGCTCTCACGCGCCGCCGCTGCCTTGTGCGCCTGCGCTGCCCCGTGCGCCACTGCTGCCTGGCGCCGCTGCGGCCTGCAACCGCCGCTGCCCGCGCGCCGCCACTACCCCGTGCGCCACCGCTGCCCCGTACACCGCCGCTGCCTTGCGCCGCTGCGGCCTGCAACCGCCGCTGCTCGCGCGCCGCCACTGCCCCGTGCGCCGCTGCTGCCTGGAGCCGCCGCTGCTCACGCGCCGCCGCTGCCCCGTGCGCCACTGCTGCCTGGCGCAGCTGCGGCCTGCAACCGCCGCTGCCCGCGCGCCGCCACTGCCCCGTGCGCCGCTGCTTCCTGGCGCCGCCGCTACTCACACACTTCCGCTGCCCCGTGCGCTGCCGCTGCCCGTACGCCACTGCAGCCCGTCAGCCGCACCACCGCGGCTAGCTTCCTTGCACATCTGCCGCCTTTGCACCGCCACTGCCGCCCGTGCGCCACACCACCGCTGCTGCCGCCCGTGCACCACACCGCCGCTGCTGCTGCCCTTGCCCAGCCGCCGCTACTGCCCGTGCACCGCCGCTACTGCTTGAGTGCCGCTACCGGCCGAGCGCGGCTGCTGCCTGTGCACCACATCGCCGCCGCTGCCGCCCTTGCACGGCCGCTACTGCTCCTGTGCTGCTGCCGCCCGAGCGCCGCTGCTGCCCGTGCGACGCACCGCCGCCGTTGCCGCCCTTGCAACGCTGCCGCTAAGCGCCGCTTGTCAAACATTATATATGTTGTAGTTGTTTAGGCTACAGTGGGTTAGCCTTTAGGGGGTACACAATTCTAGGGTTAGGTACTTGTACTCTCTTGTCTTTCTAGTTCACAGACTTCTCTCAATTCTAACATGGTATTACGAGCCTAGGTTAGGAACCTAGGACCTACCGTTCCTAAGGGCCCACCGTTCCGCTAGTGGCGCCCTCGTGCGCCTTCTCTTACTTGCGCCCTCGTGCGCCTCGCTTCTAGTGCGCCCTCGAGCGCCTCGCTTTTCAGTCGCGTCGCCCGCTAGCCGCCCGCGCGCGGCCCGTTTTATGCCCGCGCGGCCCTTTTTTCTGGTGCGCGCGACCGTGTAGCCGCCCACGCCGTCGCCGCGCCCTAGCGCGCCTCTTGCGACCGGCCCCGCCTAGCCCCGCGCGCCCTTACGTGCCCTGTGCGGCCCCGCGCGCTCGCTGCCCTGCGCGCCCGTGCGTGCCTCTTACGGACCGGCCCCGCCCCTTAGCGCACGCCCCTACGTGCCCCGTGCGACCGGCCTCCACCCACCCGCACGCCCTTGCGTGCTCCTCGTGTACCGGCCCCGCCCTCGCTAGCCGCCACTTCGTGCCCAGTGCGACCGGCCCACGCCCACCCGCGCGCCCTTGCGTGCCCCTCGCGTACCGGCCCCGCCCTCGCTAGCCCGCCACTTAGTGCACCGAGCGGACCGGCCCCGCTCTGCCCTGCACGCCCTTGCGTGCCCCACCTCGCGTAGCTGCCGCCGCCGAACCGAGCCGCCTCACCTGGCCCGAGCCGCGCCACCCTACCGAACCGCGCCGCCCTACCGAGCCGCGCCACTGCTACTGTCACTGCTAGTGACTCTACTGCTGTTCCTGCTGCTACTACTGCTACTGCTCCTACTGCTACTATGGCTAGCCCTGCTGTGCTCGCTTTCGATGCTGAGGGCCGCCCGCTGAAGTTTGACACCTGGCTCGATGACTTGCACCTGTTCCTCCAGCTCACTGCCAAGGAGGACATCTCGCTGTACGATCACGCACTAGGACTCGCTGCTGCCCCTGCTACCACTGCTGACAGTACTGCCCGCTCACAGTGGCAGACTCGTGACGCCCACGCTCGCTTCGCTATTCGCAACTCCCTGCCGGTAGATGAGCGCGAACACTTTGGCCAGCACAAGACTGCGCAGGCACTGTACACTGCTGTAGTTGCACGCTACTCCTCGCCTGCCTCTGCTGCGCTAGGCCGTCTCTCGCTTCCCTACCTGTTCCCAAACCTGTCCGCTTTCTCCACAGTCGCTGACCTCATCACGCACCTCCGCACTAGTGAGGCTCGCTTCCGTGCCGCTATGCCCGCTGAGTTTCTCGCCACGCACCCCCCCCCGCTCTGGCTCACTCTCTACCACCTAGTCACCCGCCTCCCTGACTCTCTTCGTGTGGTCAGGGACCACTTCCTCGCTCGCTGCCCCACTGAGCTCACCATTGACCTGCTCGAGAAGGAACTGCTTGCAGCTGAGACTAGCACAGTCGCTGTAGCTGCCTCTCGTGGCGACCCCCGCACCCCTTTCTTCGAGGGATGTTCCCCTTCCCCCCTTCTCCCCTCTGTCGCCTCTGCTGCTGATGTTGACCTCGTTGGTACTGAGCAGGTCGGGACTGCGTCCGCTCCGAGCTGGCGCCGCAGCGGCAAGGGCAAAGGGGGCAAGGGAGGTGGAGGTGACGGCGGGGGAGGCGGTGGTGGGGGCGGTGGAGGCGGTGGGGGTGGTGGCGGGGCTGGAGGGGCTAGTGGCAGTGGTGGGGGTGGTGGCGGCAGCGGCGGAGGAGGTGGCCGGGGTGGGGGCGGTGGTGGGGGCGGCGGTGGACGTGGCGGCGGCAGGGGCGGTGGTGGTCGAGGTGGTGGCGGCGGCGGTGGTGGTCGTGGAGGCGCTGGCGGTGGCCAGAGCCAGCAGCGCACTCAGTCGTCCCAGGAGCTTCGTGAGTGGTACTCTCAGCACGGGGGGGGGGGGGGTGGCCTTAGCTGCACGTACTTCATCCGCACTGGTGACCGCACTGGCCAGACGTGCGGGAGGGCGCACACCACCCAGCGCTGCTTCTCCCGCCTTGACGACGCTTGGCGCACTCAGTTCCCTGCTGCCACTGAGCTGCCCCGCTGGGCTGAGCTGATGAGGAAGAACATTGATATCTATGCTCTTGACTTTGATGCTATTCTTGGTGCCATGTATGTGCTGTCTACTAGTGGAGAGGGTGATCAGTACCTGCGTGTTCCGCCCGACCCGGGCATTCGGACCAGTGAGGTTGCCGCTCTAGGTGCTTGCGTGTCTGCTGCCCCAGGTGCTGGTGAGGCTGCTGCTCTAGGTGCTTGCGTGTCTGCAGCCCCAGGTGCTGGTGAGGCTGCTGCTCTAGGTGCTAGTGAGTCTGCACCCCCTGGTACTGAGTCCACTGAGGCACTGCACACCTTCACTCTATACTCAGGAGCTTCTCGCTGTTTCTTTCGTGACCGCACTGCCCTTGAGCAGCTTGCTCGGCCAGTTGCTGTCTCCCTTGCTGACCCCTCTGGGAGTCCGGTCATTGCGACCTCCTCCACTGTCCTTCCTTGTCCTGCGGTTCCGTCGGGCACACTGTCAGGTCTCCACCTCCCCTCGTTCTCTACGAACTTGGTGGCGGGTTGTGCGCTCCAGGACGGGGGTGTCCACCAGTTCACCCCTGCCTACAAGCGCGTGACACACTGCACGTGTGCTCGGACGGGCCGTCACCTGGCTGCCTTCACTCGGCAGCCGGGGTCGGACCTGTACACACTGACCACTGAGTCCCCTCAGGTAGCTGCGTCTGCGTCTGCGTCAGGTCAGCTGTCGGCCCCCTGCTCGTGTCGCTCTCTAGCGCACGAGACCGTCCTCTGGCACCACCGCCTTGGTCACCCGTCAGTGCAGCGCCTTCGTGCCATACACAAACGGTACCTTGTCTCTGGTCTTCCCAGGGTTCTCCCTCCCCTCCCACCCTCGCCTGCTCCTCCCTGTCTTCCCTGTGTCGAGGGGCGGCAGCGCGCCGCTCCTCACTCCTCCTCGTTTCCCCCGACGACTGCTCCCTTGCAGACACTCCACATGGACGTGTGGGGCCCAGCCCGCGTCCGTGGACAGGGTCAGGAGAGGTACTTCCTGATCGTTGTTGACGACTACTCGCGCTACACCACGGTCTTCCCCTTGCGCACCAAGGGTGAGGTCCCTGATGTTTTGATCCCTTGGATCAGCGCTTCTCGTCTCCAGCTCAGCGAGCGGTTCCACTCGGACTTTCCTGTCCTGCGTCTGCACTCTGACAGAGGTGGTGAGTTCTCCTCCGACCTCCTGGCAGCCTACTGTGCGGAGCACGGCATCCGCCAGTCGTTCACGCTTCCGGCCTCTCCACAGCAGAATGGGGTTGCTGAGCGCCGCATTGGCTTGGTCATGGAGGTCGCTCGTACCTCCTTGATCCATGCGGCTGCTCCCCACTTTCTGTGGCCGTTTGCGGTCCGATACGTTGCGCATCAGCTCAACCTCTGGCCCCGTGTCTCCGTTCCGGAGACTTCACCGACACTGCGTTGGACGGGAGAGGTTGGCGATGCGTCGCGTTTTCGGTTCTGGGGATCTCGAGCTTTTGTTCGCGATACGTCCGCGGACAAGCTCTCCTCCCGCGCTGTTCCTTGCGTCTTCCTTGGCTTTTTCCCCGACGCGTCTGGTTGGCAGTTTTACCACGCCACCTCGCGCCGTGTCCTGCCCTCTCAGGACGTCACTTTTGACGAGTCGGTGCCCTACTACCGCCTCTTCCCCTACCGCACTGCCCCGCTCCCCCCTCCGCCTCTCTTCCTCGCGCCAGGTGCTGCTGTGGTAGACCCCCTCCCCCCTCAGGGTGCCGCTCCCTCAGGTGTGTCCCAGGTAGACCCGGTTGAGCCTGTCGAGGTAGCTGTCGACTCTCGTCCTGCTAGGGGTGCTGAGCCTGTGCGTGCGGAGCCTGGGGTTGCGGAGTCCGGGGGTGCTGAGCCTGAGTGTGCGGAGCCTGGGGGTGCGGAGTCTGGGGGTGCTGAGCCTGGGGGTGCGGAGCCTGCGGGTGCTGAGTCTGGGGGTGCTGAGCCTGGCAGAGCTACGACTGAGGGTACTGAGCCAGAGGGTGCTACACCTGGAGGCGCTCCCTCCCCACAGCAGCTGCGTGAGTGGTACTTACAGTACTGCAGCCTCAGGAGGGGTGCTTCTGGAGCCGGTGCTCGTGCCCCCCCTCCTCGGCGGGAGCCGCCCTCTCCTCAGCGGCTTAGAGAGTGGTACGCTCGGCTCTGCAGTCTCCGGAGTGGCGCTACTTGTGTCGTGGACCCTGGTACTGGTGCTGTTGGAGCTGCTGGAGGTACTACTGGTGCTGGTGCTGCTGGAGCTGCTGGAGGTGCTGGTGCTGCTGGAGCTGCTGGAGGTACTACTGGTGCTGGTGCTGCTGGAGCTGCTGGAGGTGCTGCTGCTGCTGGCGGTCCTGCTGGCGCTGTTGGAGGTGCTGCTGGTGCTGGTGCTGCTGGTGCTGGTGCTGCTGGAGCTGCTGGAGGTGCTGCTGGTGCTGGTGCTGCTGGTGCTGGTGCTGCTGGAGCTGCTGGAGGTGCTGCTGGTGCTGGTGCTGCTGGTGCTGGTGCTGCTGGAGCTGCTGGAGGTACTACTGGTGCTGGTACTGCTGGAGCTGCTGGAGGTGCTGCTGCTGCTGGCGGTGCTGCTGG